CCACCCCAGAGTGCCCGGCCCGCGGCACTCACCTGCCACCTCCTCCGACCCACCGCAGCTCCTGCCCCCGGAGCCGCGAAGCCCTGCACTCGCCGGATCCGCCACAGCCCCGCCCTCTTCGGGCTCCCGCTGACCCCGCCCGCGGGCATAGGGGGAAGCTGCTGGGCCGCCTGCCCCAGCTCCCCTGGAGATAGACCTTTCTCCCCTGCCAGGCCTGTGGGCAAGGAAGTGTCTGTACGTTGCGGACGTGCAATAAACAGCTGTGCCGTGGATATCTGCTAAGGGCTTTGTTTTTTTGGGTTTTTTAAAATATATTTTATTGATTTTTCACAGAGAGAAAGGGAGAGAGATAGTTAGAAACACCGATGGGAGAGAAACATCGATCAGCTGCCCGCTGCACATCTCCGTGCACGCAACCCAGGTACATGCCCCTGACCGGAATCGAACCTGGGACCTTTCAGTCCGCAGGCCGACGCTCTATCCACTGAGCCAAACCGGTCTCGGCGGCTAAGGACTTTGTTAAGGGGCATGAGCCCTGGCTGGTTTGGCTCAGTGGATAGAGCATGGGCCTGTGGACTGAGGGGTCCCGGTTTGATTCCGGGCTGGGGGCGTGCAGGAGGCAGCAGATCAATGATTTTGCTTTTATCATTTATGTTTCTCTCTATCCTTCTCCCTTCCTCTCTGAAATCAATAAAAATATTTAAAAAAAAAAGAGGAAATGATGGGATACCCTGAAGCGAGACTCTCAAAACCGGTAGCGGAAGATGAATACATAAGCTTGGGAGGGGAGTGGGTGGGGAAACAAACCAGGTGGAGGGCACAGCTCTTGCCAAGCCAAGAGGCTTTCCTTCCCACCGGCACTGCAGCACCTGTTACACTAGCCCAGGCTCTCTGTACGTTTCTTCCCAGTTTCATTCATCAAAATTTTATTGACCAACTACTAGGGCCAAATACTTCATTCCTGGCACCTTCACTGGGTTAGTCACGAGCATCTGAAACATAACGGGCCCAAACGGAACACCTGCCACCTTCCATATCTCAGGTAATGACAACTGTCCTGCTAGGTGTTCAGGTCAAAACTTTGGAGTCGTCCTTGCCTCCTCTTCCCTCACTCCCCACATTGTCTCTCCGCAAATCCTGTTCTCTACCTTCAGAGCGCATTCTGAATCTGGGCACCTCACTGCTCTCCCAGCCCCATCACATCTTGCCTGGATTAGTGCAACAGCTTACATTTCAACCACACTTATTCTCTCCACAACAGCCCGGCGAATCCTTGAAAACAGCTCACTCAAGACCCTGTGATGTCTGTTCATCTCAATCTGGAGCAACAGCCCTCACAGTTTTACAAAGCCCCACCTACACATTCTGACCCCACCCCCTACTGCTCTTCCCG